TAAAAAGTGTTGAAGGTGCGTATCCAGTAGGCCCATTGTTTTGAGGCATCTGGCGCGTTTAGATCGACATAGAATTTGTCGGGTTGAAGATAACGGTCCATTATTAGTTGAATATATTGTAATGCTTTACGAATCAAGCAAGTGGATGCGGAACGGAGAGGACTGGGAGTCGGAGCTGTACGCTTTACTCAACCAATGGATCCGGTACATGAGTTGTAGTAAAAAAAGAGCTTTATGTTACATGCAATAGAAGAGGGTGAATAAACAAGAGAACAAAATTATATCATTATTGACGTATGACCTGGCCATTGCAGTGTAAATTTTTTGCCATCATCCGTTGTGGCATCGTATGTTGTTTTTGGTTTTAGAACCTACCCACAACAAACAAGACTTTGCGGATGCCAAGGAGTATCGGCAGTTGATGCGAGCAATGGCTGATCATTTGATGCAATACTGGGATGACCTTGGGATTGATAAAGAAGCTGAGGATTTGGTTCGCTTTTGGAAAAGCTTTGGTTACCTGTCCGCTCGTTGGCGAGATCCACCGAGTGGAGAGGATAAATATGCACGGCGCCGTTGTTGTTCCGTCTCCATATGCGTCCAGTGTGGTGAGTGCGTCTTACTAGAAGAATGTTAAAGTGAAATTGTTTAGTCGCTTCCGTTCTTTGTCTTCGTGCTCCTAGGCGACTCACGTACCGTAAATCAGTTGCATGTCTTTTTCCACGATGTAACAATGTTTTACCACTGTTTAGCATTCAGAACCGTTCGTTTCACTATGTTACATTAACATTGCTAAATAATAAGATCGTCTCCATTACTTCGGTTACATCTCGTTAGTTTTTCGACATCACGCGGTCCAAGTTAAGTGATTGCCTTCGGTGTCATTTCCGATTCTTATTTACGCAAATATCCGTATATTTTATTCCAGACAAATGTTTGAAATGGCGTGTGCTACCTTTCTCCCAAAGTCTCGTCGGAAGAGACGTCCCCGACACTTGGCAGTGTCGTGATAACCCTGATCACAAACACAAGAGGTATGATGGTTAACTGATATCGACTATGCATCTCGTAGCGTGTTCCAATTGAGTTTTGCGTCTGTTTTTTTTTCAGTTAAAAATGTTACGTTGTTTTCTTCCATGCTTAATTTACCAATTTTTGGTACCTTTTAAAATTTCTTTCATGAGTTTGATGTCAAATGTGGCCAAAATTGCTTAGTATCCACATGTAGTCAAACTTTTGATTTTCAAAAGTTTACACTTTGTCCTCGGTTTGCAAATTAAGCCCAACTAAATTTCGTGGTGCATTGTTCTGGCAATATCCCGTTCATGGAATTCACCTATGCATTAATCTGCCATATTTTTTTCTAAAATTCGATTAGCTGTTTCTATGTAAAATTGCGACTTTGGTTTCATTGACAGATGTGAAGATCCGGAGGAAGATCTCAGTCCACCGATGGGTGTTCTGAAGCGTAAAATCAAAACGAAAGAGCAGCGCCAAGCAGAATTAGAAAAGCAAATTCGGAAGAAGCAGGTGAGTCATCCTATTTTTTTGAGGTAATTTATATCATTATGCTTTTCTTCTTACTTTTTCGGAACGATATTATAGTTCTGTCCTATGATTTCGTTCATGACTTGCCTAGTCGATACAGTTGGATTAAAAATGGAGCATCCTTCACAGTTGAGAATCGTTTGATGTACGGCAAGGTCAGTAGCAATCAGTTTATTGCTCGTTTTCCTGTGTTCGTCGCACACTAACTCGTCATCTGTGAGATTGGGATGGAGGT